TTCTTCATAATGAGTTCTGGCCACCAGTACTTGTTCTGTAATTGCTGGTTTGTTGTGACAACTTCAAACATACCATGAACATGATGTATGAAGTAATTCCTCTGTGACACCTTCACAATTCGTAGAATCACAGAATCATGGAATGGTTTGGGTTAGAAAGGACCTAAAACCTCATCTAGTTCCAACCCCCTGACAGGGGCAGGGACACCTTCCACTAGACCAGGTTGCTCAAAGCCCCATCCAACCTGGCCCTTGAACACTGCCAGGGATGGGGCAGCCACAGCTTCTCTGGGCAACCTGTCCTAGTCATGCTTACAGTGAAGAACTTTTTCCTTATATCTAATCTAAATCTACCTTCTTCTACTCTAAAGCCATTCCCTGTTGTTCTGTCACTACAGGCCCTTGTAAAAAGTCCCTCTCCAAATTTCTCATACCCCCCTTTAGGTATTGGAAGGCTGCTATAAAGTCTCCCTGGAGCCTTCTCTTCTCCAGGCTGAACAAGACCAGCTCTCAGCCTGTCTTCACGGCAGAGGTGCTCCAGCCCCTGATCACCTTCATAGCATCCCTCTGGAGTCATTGCAGCAGGTCCAAGTCCTTCATGTACTGAGGGCCCCAGAGCTGAATGCAGCACTCCAGATGGGGCCTCACAAGAGCAGAGGAGAGAACAATCACCTTCCTTGACCTGCTGGTCACATTTTAAAATTCCCTAAAATTCCATATAATGTGAAGTGACATTTCATTACATATCTACCTTGTGGGTGAAGTTCATTCTGTAGGCTGAAATGTGGTATTGGAATAGCATCCATGCATTTGGAATTCCTGAATCACCTTCTAGACAGGAAGATATGTTATTTCTGTTAAATCAGACATTACAAGCAAGTAACTTTAAATATTTCTCCTGTAATTGTAGCAAACATATTTATAATCCATACAGCAACTTCCATATAATCAGGTAGATAAGCATCTAAAAAAGTGCAGACGAGATAAACTATGAGCTGCTGTGGTTTTAGTTTGACTAAACTGTGTCATGTACAAATGAAAGTAATCTTGCTAGCCATCTGCAGACAGTTCCTGCTCCTCTGAGTCTTCCTGTCGTTAACACAACTGCCAAGAGGTGTGATCTGTAAGCAGTTGGAGTATAATGCCTCAGAGACAGGTTCCCTACTCTTCTGTAGTATATGCACAATGAAATGTTTTCTTTCCAACAGTTTTACTGTATCTTATAAACTAACTGTTCAGGGTTCAAACACAATGGTCTCCTCATAGAGACTGTCCCATGGATTTGGGGAAAAGTGGCTCCAGATTCCTATCATGAAAAAGTGATGGCCAGCATGGTCGAGGGAGTGCTGCCTGGATGTAGCTTGACTCAAAGGCAACTGCCTGGTAAGCTCTCCACACTGGGAGTACCACCCAAGATCTTTCCAACAGCTGTTGGGAAGGCAGAGTGGGCCTCAAGTCAGCTGCAATCAGGTTTATTAGGTCAACTGCAATGCCATAATAAAGACCTGAGTGTTTGGCTTCCAGAGGGCTGGGAGGGAGTAAAGGAAGTAGCTCTGCATTTACAGCATTTGACCATTCCTGTTCTGAGACAAAAGTAATGACAATTGTGGTGAACACTGAAGTCAAAGCTTTCATTGTCTGAAAATTCGCTATGTTGGGTAAATTTTAGATTTTACAATGTGTTGTTCTTAATAGTTCTGCGAGCATTGCATAGGAAGGAATAGACAATGTACACTTTGATTTGAGACCTGAAAAATATGTTTGTAATTATTTTTATTTTTTTTTCTGGGAAGGGTGAGCTCTTCTACATGTTCTATGACCTTTTTTGACCCCAGTGGAGAGATGACCTGCTCAAGAAAAGACTACTTTCTGCATCTGATTCAGTATTCAGCAAAACTCAGCTTCAGCCCTCCTGTATTGACATGTTGAAATACAGCCTGTAGGGTTTTTCTTTTCTGCCAGCTTCAGGAGTTTTTCCAAATACACTAACATCATCCAGATAATGCTAGATTCCAGGCTTGTTATTAAGAATTATTAACATATTTGAAAAGCTCTGGGTGTTGATTCAGGTCCATATGGCTTACGATCAAAAGAGAAAAGTTCCATTAAGTGTAATAAATGCTGTGAAACTCAAGCTGTCTGGACACTTGGCAATATGCATTCTTTAAATCAAGAGTAGAAAACATATTCTGCAACAATGACATCAGTATCTGTAAATGGTTAACTGTCAATCTCAGTGGCTTTGTCTGGCTTCCCTAAGTCTACACAAAACCAAGTATTCTGGTTTGCATTTTGTCAACAGTGTGCTGAAACTAATTCAGAAAACGCAGTGTTTCCATCCGTACAATTTTGGGCTAATTTTTTTTTTTAATTATCTTGTAACAGCATCTCTCATTCAGTTGTAGAGAATATAATCTTCACTGCAAAACCTGGCACTTTAGATCAAATTATCGTGCTATGAGTAAACATTTCCATGTAATAGCTGATACTATTTATTTTGTAAGAGCTGAAACCGGAGTTTGTATTGCAGTGGGGTTTTGTTATATTGAAGCAATCCACATAAATACACACACGCACACTTGCGTATGTAGTGCAGTTCCCAGATTTCTGCTTAACAGGATTACATAAAAAAAAACAAACAAAAAACAAAACCAAACAACAACAACAAAAAACCACCAAAAAAAAACCCAAACCCCTATCAGTATGTATCAAAAGTGAGTTTTCTATGCAGGAAACAAGAACAGTGCTCTTCATGTAGCTCACTGTATAACATCAAGTGTCAAACTTCTGTAGCATTGCAGGCAAATGCATTCAGAGTACTGAAGCTCAGAAAACAGTGTTATTTTAGTAACATATGACTGTTATGATGCAAGAAAAATTCATCCCTAATAAATAACTGCTTTCATCCATGGTCAAAACTGTACATTTGACACTGTAATGCCACATAAATATTGCTTAGGTAGAAATTCATTATATGTTTTAATATAACATCTTGCTGCAGCATTTACAGGTTATCCAATACGGATTACAAAGTGCTGTGGAGACGGCAGTAGTATATTTACACACAGACATATACACACACATACATGTGTTAATGTATGATGTAGTATGCATCGTTCTAGTGGGTGCAGTTTGAATGCAGTTCACCATTTATCAATTTTCCTATTGCCAATTCAGTTAGAGAAGCAATGGGTACAATCTCTTGTAATGTCAGGTCCAATTCAGGAGGTAAGTACTATCTATAATCAATAGGAAAAGCTTTCTTCCATAAGCTAAACTTGACCTTTTCCTGCTGTGCCTCTAGACTTGCACTTGATTTTTAACTCCCTTAAAGCAGCAGTGTGATGTTCTGTTGAGTCACTTGGTTTCTGTGTATGCTGGTAGTACTTATTGGATTCAGCCATGACATTAATTGCAGTAAGAAATACTTAATTTCAGGAGCATATTCTTCTTTTTTTTTTTTTCCACCATGAAAGCATGGAGAATGCACACCATCTCTCTGTCGCTTTCTTTTGGTTTGCCTTCTCCAGCAAAGTCAGTACCATTAACTGTGGGTATAGGTTTTCCAACCCTTTGCAAGTGAACAGAAGGAACCTGGGAGCACCTGGACTTTGTAGGAATTATGCAAGAGAATAAAATGACAGCACAGACACTCCACTAGGTGAATAGAAAGAATGTAATACTAAAAAGATTATTCCAGGCTGAGATTTCTATTTCATAGAAATACTAAATGAAAGTCTCATACTGACTGCAACAGGCAATAGTAGAAAACAACCAAACCAACAACAATAAGAAAAATAAAATCACAAAGTCAGATTATTTTACAAAGTCCTGGAATTTCTTTTACCTGACAAATGTCCTCTGTCCAGCATCGATACCACAACATCAGAGCTCTCCTGAGTAATGGAAGTTCAGTTCATGTTATGTACATGAAGCAATTGGATCATCATCTACCTGTGAACAGATGGGGAACTGATGCAGAACATTTTTCAGTACTAAACTAGCCACTTATGATGGGAGTTACTGACAAACCTGCCTACACTTTTTTTGTTGTCCTTCCAATACTGAAAACAATGAAGGTGTGTCAGGCAGTTTTAATGAGATACTTAATTAGTGCAGATGTAGGCTTTTAGCTTGGGGTGTGAGATGTGAATGAAGCCTGTATAGTGGAGTGCTAGACAGTTACTAAAGGTGAGGAAGTGCAAAAGGGAGAAAAAGGCAGTAGGAGTCGAAGAAACACAGACAAATAAGTAATACTAGTAGCAATCATTTCCTTTCAAAATGTTACTAAGGTGACAAAGATGGCATGCAGCAAGTCACAAACGAATATATAGCTGTTTCAACAACTGGATGATTGTAAAAATTTTTACACAACCTAACTCTTGAACCTAAAACATTCCAACTGGCAACGACATATTTTTTCAAGACAATTTCCAAGGCATACTCAAGCCCTCTGATCAAAACTATATACTCTGGAATCCAAACTAAATTTAGAAGCAGCTGTTTTAACATGATTTTGTTTCATTCTTGTTTTTATTTTAAGGGGAAATGACTTAGGAAATCTGGAAAGACGTCATGGTGAAGAACTATCTTCCACGTACCATTTCCCATGGGAACAGAACTGTGAGGAGGAAGAGCACAATGAACCTGCAGCAGTAACACTACACCAGATGAGCACTCAAGACTGTTTTAGGAATACTATCAAGTCACCACTTTTGCTTCCTTCGGGGCTGCCTGGTTCTTTTCTAGATAAACCAGCCTGTGCATTGTGGTTGTTGGGAGTGATTTTTTTTTATTATTTTTTTTTTTTATTTTTCAACCCATTAAATCGCACCTTTGTGTGCAAGTAAGGTTTAAGTTACAAAGGGCATGGCAGCAAGGCAGAACAGGGGTGCTGCTGGGAGAGGGACGAAGGAGGCAACAGGAGCTGAACAGATGGATACACAAAAGCTTGAATAATTTGTAACTCATTTCAGTCTGAACAACGAATGCCAAACATATTTCAATAGTATTGCAAATATACTTTAATATTTAGGGGAGAGGAAGAACCCACAGTATCCTGCAACTCAGGAAGGTGTGCTAAATCTTTTGATTCGCATTTCGTGTGTATCTTAATCCGAAATCATCCAAGAAGAGAACACATCCCTCGTCAGTTTTACGAGCGCAGCACATCAACTCCTTTGTTTACACTGGCACACGAAGATGTTCTTTCCCGCTCCGGCAACAGAAGGAGCCGAAACGCTAACGTGGGATCTCTCCGAGCCGGCACCTCTTCGGTCAGTGGTCGGTCTGTCAGACTTCGGCACGCCGCTCCGAGCGAAGCAAGGGGGGAACCGCAGAGGCGACAAGCACGACACCAGCCCCACGGCACCTCGCTCGTCGCGGCCCAGCACGACACGACCCGACCCCGCCGAGCCCGCGGGCTGCCCCAGCCGTAAGTAAAGGGTTTCACCGTAAAACGGGGAGAACGGCGGGTGACTGGGGTCGAGGAAGGGCCCGACCGCCGCCCCGCCAGCGCCCTCAGCGCCGCGTCCCCGGGGAGCCGCCCCCCCGCGCGCCTGCCTGCCGCGCAGCACCACGGGAGCTGTAGTCCGGCACCACCGCCCGCCTCTCTGAGCTCCCCCCGCCCGCCACCGCCCCCCGGCCCGGGGCACAGCGGCGCCGCGGCCACTCTCGCGAGGCTTGGCGTCGGGAGCGTTCTCGGGCGGGCTGCTCCGCCGCGGGGATGTTTGGTGCGGGCGCCATTCCCCCGCGTGACGTCATAGTGCATTGTTGTGAGCGTAGCGGAGCATCCCTCAAGCTGTCAGCTGTGCCGCCGCCGCTGCGGGGAGCCGAGCCGGCCCGGCCCCCACTCCCCTCCTTCTCCTCCTCTTCTCCCGCCCCTCCCGCCCCGGGGGCTCCAGCGCTCGGTGTCACCGTATCATTGTCCGTGCGGAACCCCTCCGGGCCACCCCCTCCCGCCCGTCAGTTTCCCGGTCCGCCTTCTCCCCGCCCCCCCCCCCCCCCCCCTCCCCCCCCCCCCGCCCCCCCCCCCCCCCCGAACCACCTCAATGAGATGCAAACATGAAAGACAAGAGGAAGAAGAAGGACCGCACCTGGGCCGAGGCTGCCCGCCTGGTAGGTGCCGCGGCAGCATTGTGTGTGTATAAGTGAGTGAGTGAGTGTGTGTAAGTGTGCGTGCGCCGCCAGCCCGGCGCGCTGCCCGCCGCTTTGTTGCCGGCGGTTGGGGCCGTTGGGGCGAGCGTGCGTGTGAGGGAAGGAGGGAGGAGAGAGAGGACGAGAGAGAGTGTGAGAGGGAGTCTGAGGGAGAGTGTGTGTGTGTGTGTGTGTGCGCGTGTGCGCGAGAGGGAACTGTGTGAGAGGGAGAATGAGCGGAGAGAGCGTGTGTGTGTGTATGTGAGGGAGCGCGAAGGAGCCCGTGTGTAAGGGAGTGCCCCTGCGTGTGAGGGAGCGCCTGTGCAGGAGCGGGTGTGAAGGCTCGGCGGAGCTCGTGCGAGTTCGTGTGTGTGTGTGTGTGTGTGTGTGTGTGTGTGTGTGTGTGTGTGTGTGTGAAGGGAGAGGCCGGGGTGCCCTAGGGTGAGGGTGCGAGTGCGAGCCCGAGCCCGTGTGTGGTGTTGGTGAGAGGGTCCCCCCACTCGCCCCAGCGGTGCCGGGGCAGCCGGCTCGCAGTGCCGTTGAGCCCGGGCTGGCGGTACCGGCAGCCCTCTGTCCCGCTCCCGTCCCCGCCTGGAGAGGAGAAATAGCTACGTCCCTTCCGCGGTGTATGTGTGAGGAAATGCCTATATTCTTTTCTTCTTTTGCATGACTGTGTGTAGATAGCCAGGGGTTGTTTCTATCTCTCCAAGTTCACGCATCAGACATCCCACGAAAATCCCTCCTTTTAATGCTAGGGAAAAGTGAGATAATCCGCGAATTGCCTTTTATCATCCCTTGAGTGCGGACAGGAGGACCGGGGTGAGGGGCGAGGACTTTAGAGAGAACTTTGTCCTGGGATTTCCCTTCACCCCCTCTGCTTCCCCCACTGTGCAGGGAAATATCCAGGGCAGTCGGACCCACTCCTGCAAAGGCTCCGTGGCTCTGGAGACCTAGCCCATTCCCACTTCATTAAGAAACTGTCTCCCTTACACTACTGTATCTGTTTTCATGATTCTGTATTATTGTTTGCTAAGTGTGATAGCACGCATTGTTTATGTTGTTTTTCATTTTTGAAGTATGTACAGGTTCACTCCATCCTAGGATTTTTACAACAAATACTTACACACAGTGCATCGTATATGGTTGTACACATTTGTATGTGTGTCTTCTGCAAAGTTGGGTCTGGTTCAGCTTCAGCTGGGTGTGTAGAAAGATGGCAAAGATGGAAAGATAGGCTGTTGATTATATTGCTTTTTGTGTCTACACCAACTTTATCTGTTATCTCTTGTTGATACAGACTTAATTGCTTAAGTGGCATGTCTGTGCATCTGGTTTTGGTAATGGATATTCATCTCTTATTCCTATTACTTGTTTAGTAGTGAAGCATATTTTTTGTAAAAATGTTTTCACCTTGTGTGAAATTTCACCTTGTTCCTGCATAGGAAGTTCAGCCTCTCTCTCTCTCTCTCCCCTATGTAAATAATTATAAGGTATTAGACGGACACTACCTATAGATGTCTCTGCAAGCTATACTGAGGTGTTCTCATATGCTTGGTCAGTGCTAAATTCTGATATGGCTCGTTGTACATCCTACAGCGTTTTGTAACACTGCAGCTTTTGCAACGATGTTCTGATACAGTGTCGCTACTGTCCCCTCATTTCTTACAATTGTAACAGAAGTTTAACTGTCACGTTTGCCGTAATAATTTTGTCAGTGAGTGTTGCTACAGTACTACTTTCTCTGTGCTTTAAACTGGCAACATGTATTCAAGAGTCTATAAAATACATCAAATGCTGTTCTAAATTTACTCTTTCAAGCTGCTACTGCAGTTGCCACTATATATTTTGTTTGAGAGATGTGCATGAAGGAACTTTATTGTGTATCAAGTAAAATTGCTATTCCCATGTGATCCAATATATGGGAAAGTTGAAAGCCTCTGGAGAACAAGGCTGAGCCAATGCTGAGGAGAAGGGCTGGGACTCTTACCATGATGTTGTATCACATAATGCTCCCCCCAGAAGGGTCATGATTTGCTAAAATTGAGTAAAAATTATACACTGCTGTATACAAGTGGTGGGGATATGCAAGGTCCACACTGGTTTTGTCCACCCTCCTGGGGTTGCCAAGTTGTGGAGAACTTGTCCCAGGTTGTCCATTAGGTGAGTGATACATAGTGCTGTTCAGACCAACTACAGTCTTGCACCAGGCTTTACATGTATAGTGGCATATGTTTGCAAATCACAGTGAAAGATTGAAGCCAGAATTGCCACTCCTTACAGTGTTTTATGTTAGGACCCTGATGGTTCATTATGACTTCGTTTTCTTGGGATACATCAATAATGTATTTCTGCAAGGTCTGATTAAATCAATTTCTTTCCAAAGGCAAGTAAACAATGAAGTGATTGATATTTACTCACAAAAAAAAAAAAAAAAAAAAAGACTCACGAGTTACCTAAATCAATATGTTGTAAAATTGTATGCTGCTGAATTACTTTTAGGAATGGGAAGTTGAATGAATAACACACTAAATGTGTGGATATTTATGTGTTAAATTTTCTACAAAAGCCCTTACATTACAACAATACTGGGCTTTAAAAGTGAAGTGCTAAAAAGTAAGAAATGACAGAGGTAACATTGCTAGCTTTTTCACTCTGGTATGCAAGTCTATATATTGCAATCTAGCCTTTAAATTACAGACATGCATGCTAATTTCCCCAAGTACTCTAAGTTCATTCACCAGAGCTGCTGATTTTTCATTCCGTTTTCTTTGTTTGATGTGTGGTACTTAATTTTCTATACACCTTTCAAACTCAGTGCAAAAATTTATTTTTCTTTTATGCTTCAGTTGTACATACATAGCTATTATTAGTAACACCCAGTAGCTTCCCAAATGCAAATGTTTCTATAGTTATAACATGCCTGTGAAGCTAAGTATTTTGACCTCTGCTTTACCCATGCAGAGTTGAGGCATGGAAAGATTAAGTACCTTACTCAAAGCTGTTCAGGAAATCTGTGGGAGAGGCAGTTATGGTACAGCAGCATCTTCATAGTTGTTCTGTTTCATAGTCATAAAATCATCTTTGTGGCTACACTTTTGCCTCATTCACTCTCTATTTCTCTCACAGTAATTATGAAAGAAATGAATATGGTCATGTCTCTATATTCAGTCTATATTGAAACTCATAATGCACCATGTAATAGTTACAGATAAAAAGGAGTACAAAAACTGGACTCGAGCCTGAAATCATTACACAGCTCTCCATTTCCCACATTCACAATGAAAGAAGCAGAAGTACTTTAGAAAAATATATTACATGACAGTCTTAAAATATATTATAATGTGTAAGACTAAGTGGCGAGGCTCCAAACTGACAGTCTGCAGTACCTTTACTGTGTTGTGGTATTTGATTAAAGGGTCTTTGAAAACTTAAGTTCCTGCAAGGCAGTGTTTTTTTCAAGCTGTTCCCTAAATTTTTAAAACATAAGTAGGAAAGGACTCCCATATATATTCAGCTCTCTCTAAATACCATGTATGTGATACAGGCAGTAAAACAGGAGCCACTGGCATGTCCTGTATTGAAACCTGCATTTTGTGGAAGACGTCTCCTGCAGAGTTGAATCTTTCTGTCTGCAATGCACTGCTTTTTCCCCTCATGCAAGCCTACTTATCTTAGGGAAAGGCATAGCCCAGCTTACAAGCATTCCTGAGAGATGAACACGTGCAGGATCAATGGAATGGTGGCATACCACTAATAGTTCATGTTACAGAACCCATTTTGTAGAACACACATTTTTATGGACAAAATTGCAACCTGTTTTTACAACCTGCCAAAGGGCATATCTTTGATGTGGACTCGATATGTCAACTCATTTTTTACTTTGTATCATACTAGAGCAATGCTTACATATGACCTGGGCATTATCTCCATGCCATTTTTCTTCTTTCTCTGTCTGATAGACAAAGATAGAAATACACTTAAGTACAATGAGATACACTTAAAAAGTGAGAACAAAAGAAAATCTTAAAAGGAAGGAGGGGAAACATCCTGTCTTTCCTCTGTCTTTCAGTTGATTCTCATTTGATGAAACCATATTGTAGTTTTCTGGTCATACATGGAACTCATAAAAATTAAATAGAAAGGTAAAACACGAGTAATGTAAGCAATTTGTAATGATTCCTTTCAGTTGAAAAAACTTGTATTGGTTTAGTTTCAGCTGCTCTTAAACTCACTGAAAGTGACAAAATAGCAAATTCTGCCTCTTAATAATTTCGTGCGATAAGATACTGCATAAAAAATACTGAAACAAAAATTACTGAGAACAAAATGTGTCCAAGGATACTCTGCCACACAAGAGCTGATAGCAATTTTAAGTAGGTAGGAGTGATCCAGCTTTTTATCACTTGACTGCTAGACACGATCCTTTGTTACTTGTGGTACAGAAAGGTGAAAGAGGCCTGAACAAAAGGAATGGAGGCTTCTCACTTCAGGAATGCAGAGCTCAGTGTATGTATAAAGCACAGAACATCTGCCCATGAAGGGTGACAGTTTACGGTAATATTTTAAAAGGATTTTTTATGAAAGCTTGCCCTTATTATTGCCCTCTTTCCTGTAAGTGGTGTTTTGAAACACAGTTCAGTTAAGTCTTTATCACTAGTTGACAATAAAACAGAAGAAAATCGGGACTAACAGTAGGGTTGGGTTATTCATGTGTTGGACCTCCTCTCCAGTATTTTTGCTCCTTCTCCAACCTGCATTCTGAAAGAAAGGTTTTCTTGTGTTACCGAAGAATATGCACTTCACAGTGCTATGGAGAGTCCTCATGGTTCAGGTGATTTGTGCATATTGGGGGAGTGATATTCATACCTTAGTTCTTGTATTACTTGCACTAGTCTCCTGACCAGATCCAGCTCTGAATTAAGAGTTGTTTTCTTGCTCCTGTAAACTTTATATGAATTAATTAAGAAAACTGGTGCTGAAAAAAACCCAACCCACAAATAACCAAACCAAACATGAAAAGCACACAAGTCTGTTGGAATTGTTAGCTTGCATGTTACTGTTTAAAGTGGCTGGCTGTCCAAAAGCTGATTGCTGCTTCGTCTGGTCTTCTAAGATAGTGGAGTTGAAACAGATTGTGTTGCTGTATAGAAATATTTTTGCATTGCATCTTCAAATATAAAGACCGCAAATGAAACAGAAAATTAAAAGAGTAACTTCTGCATAGTTAAACCATTGATGATAATCCCTTTGACTTTTATGTTAAGTCTTTGCTTTTGTTACTATAAATAGCATTTTAAAGCATTGTGTGGAAGGAGCTTCATGTATCTTTAAAAATGGTAGATTTGACCTAACTTTGTTTTATGGTATTAAGGATTTCTTTGTC